TTGCGTTGCTCGCGATTATAATGTGTGATGATGTAATTTGTTCCACACGTTAAAATCTGCAATCTTCTATTTTTTTTTATCTTTGAATCTGTTTGATGCAGGACTGGAGGGAAATTCCTATCCCGTAGTAGCACCCTCGAAGGGTTTTTTTGCCAATGGATTCTGTCACCCATCCTTAGCGTATTCAAAGATGATAATGAAATTCTGTACCGAGGCTTTAGTGTTAGAAAAGTTATTTTTAATTTAATACTTAATCTTTGCCGTTGTTTAAATCGATGCCGTTCTGGCCGTCGCAAAAATTATACGAAGTTATCGTGTATCCACTATGTCAAATGGTGATACAAATTGGTCGCGAATGACTACTTGATTTTTCTTCGTTTCAGTTTTTGGAATGCCCAGTCGCCAGATTATTCATCTTCATACTTGGTCAAATTATTTAAGTGAAATTCTAAATTTGAAATGGATCCTCGCGTACACAAAAAGCCCAGCATGCAGACAATAGGCGACTTTCAGTGAGAAGAAAGACCATCAAGAAAGCACAAAATTCATCCTCTTTTTGCTTTCACTTGCAACATTACTTTTTTGTCGGATGCGAACGTATATATTTTCCGTACACCTTCCTAAACCAGACTTTCGTGAAAGCGAGATCCTGATTGCCATTGTTATTGTACACATTGACATTACTTCATTATCGCTCGGGAAGTTTAAAAAATTAATTTGATATTTTTATCAAAATATATTGAAATTATGTAAATATTGATTTTAGATGACCTAAAAACAGATAATGTTATTCATTTATAAAACTTGTATATTTTTTCCAAAAACACAAAATTATTAAATAAAAAAATTAATATATTTCGCCCCAGTGTTTGCGGTCCCCATTAGCCGTACACAAATTACGAACACGTTCTAAATTACAAACAGAAATGAATGCTCACCCCTTGATCAGCTTACCCCCCTTCTAATAGATCCACTAGATAGCGTACATGTGCATCGCAGGTGAAATGAACGAGAAAATTCATTCGCTTGATAAAGCGTGGGTGGGAGCAATAACTTGACTACCTCAAAGCGCCACACATCCAACTCGCAACGAAGCTGACAATGTCGCTTACTAAATAAAACATGAATATAAACCTCGACCGGACGAACACCTACCGCGGCGCGCTCAAACGTTTGCTTGGGTCCGTCGAAGCGACTCGTTGAGCGGAGTTGCCTCTCGTTCGTCAGACAAGCGAGGCTGCTTCCGACGGCGTTTCGGGAACGGATTTCCCGGGAGCCCAGTCGTGACGAAAGCGTGGGCGTGATCGGTGAGTCACGGAGACGTCCGCGAACCGAAGAAGTTTGTGTGACCAGGATTCGTGGAGGTGTGGAGTAAATAGCTATAAATACAAAGCGCTCAGCGCTCAAATGTAGAAAGCTCGATAACTTTTTGTACCGACTGAGTGAGCTCAAACTTGAACTGTGAAACAATTTTGGGATTATTTTATGGTGTCTGGCAATGTGTTGTGAAGTAACGTTCATGTATTGTATGTGGATTTCGTGGAGTGAGCAGATGAATACAATTAGATTCGACGTGTGGTGTTTGAAGCAATGTGGGGCGCACAGAGAACTTAGAGCCTGCAATTGATTCGTGCGTTATTAGCAAGAGAAGAAGCGTAGATAATGCCCTTGTATGAAGTGCCTGATTTAAAAGGAAGCACAATTGCTTCGGACGCAGAATGCTAAAGTTTTGCGCAGCGCAATCTTATGCTCCAGTACTACTGTCGTATGTGCGCGTAGAAATATATTGCATAAATATCTCTGTAATGCAATAAGAGGGGCTGTGATAACCACGAAAGAAAGGGGGAGGGGAGAAAACGCCCACGCCCACCTTTCAGCGCCAGTAATTCTTGGATCTTTTTTTTTTTTTTGTTTGTTTTGTTTTTGTATTCAGTGCTTCCTGGTTCACATACTGTTCGTGCATTTGCTCCCGATGCAAAATGTGTAGCAATAGGAGTATATGAGTTTCGAATTTTCACAACTTATCTGATGTGAACTTCTATTCGCTCGAAAAATCTGCACAAGGATTTGTATCTTATATAAGAAATTATGTACTGTATACGAAATTTATAAAGCATCAACTTTGTGTCATAAATTAATTCAATCATGGATGATGGATTCATTGTTATTACGAGCAAACCCATCTAGGATGTGCCACAAGTAATGAGTTGCAAATTCTCTAGACAATTACGAACATGCGAGTGTAATGGAAGATAATGCATTTAATGAACTCAAGCTTTGCCCGACCCTTTTGCCCTGCCAATTCCTGAATTATTTTCTCTACGAACGCTGTAGAGTACAATTCGATTAATCAAATCTGTTGAAAGTTGGACAACTGCGTCATTCTCCTCTGAGAGTTAAATTATAGATAGGTGCGCCTGCGTGCGTAGCCTAAAGCAACAGGGAGGAGGGGGGGGGCTGTTTTCCATTAAACTTTATATTTATATATGGCATTTTACTAGTAAATAAAAATACTACAAAGAGTATTCATATATTACTTTAGTGATTATTCTTAGCAAATACAAAACGTTTTTATCTTGAACTATACAGAGTTGTCAGACCTGGAGGCTGTTCCCCATAAGTTGCAAATTCCCTAATTTACTGGGTTTGACAAATTAATTGAAATTATCGTGAAAAATCATTGTAATTGATTATTCTACATTTTAAAAAAAGTGGTAACCAATGACCTCAACTTTTTCTAAAGTGACATAATGACATTTTTTTAAATCCCAGTTTGTGGATGCAAAACGGAGAAAATGTGGGATTGAAAATATTTAAGGAAAAAAAATGTTTTTTTACCACGTACGGGCACCTTTAAAATTGTTCAGAGAGGGGGGGCGTGCACTCTACGGAGGTTCGTTCTCACGAGTACTGCGGTGCTGCGCGTCTTACTCCAGGCCGCAGCTCGTGTGCTAACTGCGGCGCTGCGAGGCAATCAGTCGTAAAATGGCACTGGTGCCGGCGCCGGCGGATGCGCTCTGAAGGGCAGAAGGCCAACCAAATGCGCTTTAGATTCAACAGGACTTTGATTAATTCAGTTCATTTAATTTAATATTGTATATTGCTTTATTTATTTTAATTGTTGATAAAAAAGCAAAAACTGTGAGGCGTAGGTTTGTATTATGTGTAGTATAAAAGTAAGTTTTATATTGTCTTAATTACATTCGGTCGATTTGCGATGCTGTTTTTGAAAGGTTTTGTATTTTTAGACGGATTTATGGAGTGAGAGGTGAGTTACTTTTGGGGAAACCTAACTTGTGACTCAAATTTGAAGTAAACTGCTTAAAAACTGAAACTTAAATTGTAAATATAAAATACATCCAGAATGTGCAATTATTTAGCAATTTTGGAGAAATATCTATCATTTCTGGCTGATAATTAAAAAATGACATTCATAAATAAACACAAAGTAATTTTAATTATTGAAAAATAGCTACAAAGCAGGTTTATAACTACAGCACAAGTATTGCCTTTTACTAAAATGTCAAAGGTTTTATCGCCAGTCTCGAAAACAATAATACATCGCAACAAACGTGTGATAACAATATATAAATAGATTTTGTCCATTCATTTGTCATCACTGCAAATTTTAAAATGTATCCATAAGGAATTTATCAAGGATTTAACATATTTACAGAAATAAAATATTTTATTACACAAGGCCAGGAGTCCCCTTTCAAAATCTTCAGAGGCACTGTCCCATTCCCTTTGCCCAAACACCCTGTGTGCATACCAGTGCTAAAATAATTTTAGATTTTAATACTAGTTTTTGATGGCTGTTAATACTTTCTCCAGATGAATGTGATTCATATTATGTGTGTCATAATTAAAAATATGTTCAGGTATGCAATAAAATGTTCTTTCACTTGAGTAATTAGTTTTGAAAAAATATACAGCCTACTGCTTCATAAATGACCAGCAAGGCAATGATAGTATTCAAAGCTCAATTAACAAAGTAATGTGATTGGTATGTGTATTATATTCTTAATTTTTTTTTCTGCATTCTTCAATTCTGGTACTCTGGGACGAGTTTCCCCTTAATAGATGTGATCTCTCAGATGGGAATATTTTAGTGGGTTTCATAAAAATAACATCAATGGCTGTCAATGATCCGTCCACAGTTTGAGGATATCGCAGCATGGGTAATAATGGGTAATGGGTAACAAAGGGCAAATATCAAAGATTAAACAATTTAAAACTACAATTTCCAGGGTTACCATAAGCCCTTCATTTATAGTGGCAAATGATAGTAGCTAATACATGCAGAAAAGAAAATAGTCCACATTACTAAACACACTCATTGATTTGGTTGCTTAAAACACAGCCTAAAATGCTTTCCAAAAACACTGTAAATGTAGCATTGAAGAGAAAAAAAAAAAAAAAAAAAAAAAAAAAAAAAAAAAAAAAAAAAAAAAATAATAACAATAGGCTCAACAACAAAATAAAAAGAAAGACATTTATGTACACAGGGCCTGAACTCTGGTTAAGCTAAGCATTCAAATGCATATGCTGTAAGGGCTGGAGCTTCAAGCGTATAATTCTGTGGTCATAAGGGAGAAGTTCATAAGTAGATAGGATTTGTTAAGAATTTAATAATGTTTACCCTGTGACCACAGAATTAAAATACACAGTTTTGATTTGAAAGAGTCTTGTATAATTTCAATTAAAAGGTAACTGTACAAAAAAATACTAGACTTCATAAAATGTGGCCATACATTGATATTTACCATACAGTAAGGAAATTGACATGGCTTTGGTTGCAAACATTGAATTATATGCATCCAATACTTCTTCACATTCGATATTAAACACACCAACTGTCCTACATGAGCAATTCAAATTTTAAGATAAGCAACCTAATTGGTTTTGACTAGATTTTCTTAAACAAGGAACGAAAAACTGAAACAGAAAAAAGGGGGGGGGGAAATCACTTGCATTTCAATATGCTTCTGTTTTTTTAGGACCCCCAGACCCTCCTGCTGGAAAACCTACAGTGTCACCATGTACGGGAGGTGCTATTGTGGCTTGGTCCAGTGCTCCTTATGATGGTGGATGCATGATAACTGGGTATTCAGTGGAGATGCAAAGAGTAGGAGATGATGAGTGGCAGCAAGTGGCATCAGGGTAAGTGGTAGGCAAATGAGTCCTTTTTGTATTGCACATCAAAAGTTTTGGATTTATTTTTCTGTTATTTGTAAATCAGGAAAGTGAAATTCACTTCACTTCACTTTACTTTGTAGGGTATTTAAGAGAAAAAATGGAAATTCTACATCCTTTATGAAAATATTTTTGTTGTTTTCTTGTTAATAAATAAATTTTAATAACTTTTTACAGCTGTCATTCACTTTCCAATGTAGTTAGCAACCTGAGTGTTGGCGAGAACTATGTGTTTCGTGTAAGGGCAGAAAATGTTCATGGATTAAGTGAGCCAAGTGCAGAGTCCTCTGTTTTCTCATTGGATTTGCAGTCATCAGGTAGGTGTAAACGATTTCTGAAACTGATGTTATATTTGAACTATATGAACCAACTACAGACTTATTGGTTACTGATCTGAATTACATATTTAAAAAAAAATTAAATTAATATTTCAGCAATACCAGATGATAATGAGGATGATGAATGTTTCACTCCTGCATTCTCTCCAAGATTAGTGACTATTGAACCTGGTGAAGATTTCAAAAATCGTTTTGAGGTTCTTGAAGAATTGGGTAAAGGTCGATATGGTGTTGTTCATAAGGTTGCTGAACGCAGTAATGGACAAAAATTTGCTGCAAAATTCATACGCTGCATTAAAGCCAAAGATAAAGAGAAGGTACAAGAGGAGATAGACATTATGAACTGCCTGCGTCACCCAAAGCTACTTCAATTAGCTGCTGCCTTTGAGACCCCACGGGAGATGGTGATGGTCATGGAATAGTAAGTATAAATTAATGATTAAATTTCATAAATCACTTCATTCAGTTCTTTTCGATATTGAAGAGTTTTTAGGAGACATAGGTCTGTACATATTTGTCGACTATCTGAATGTGTTTTCGTTACTGAACTTAAAGGGAATTGATGTGACTCATGATATTCTCCATCTTCTTAGCATTTCAGGAGGAGAGTTATTTGAACGTGTAGTGGCTGATGACTTCACTCTGACTGAAAGGGACTGTATACTGTTCATGAGACAAATCTGTGAAGGTGTCAGTTACATGCATGAAAATTCCGTTGTTCACCTCGATTTGAAGGTAATGTTGAATTAAACTAGAAATGAATTAATGTACCACAACCATTTGAAAAACTTCTAACTGGATATATTTTTCAGCCGGAAAACATAATGTGCCATACACGAACATCACACCAAATTAAATTGATTGATTTTGGACTAGCTCGTAAGCTGCAACCAGATATCCCTGTGAGGGTGTTGTTTGGCACTCCAGAGTTCATTCCTCCTGAAATTATAAGCTATGAACCAATAAGTGTGGAGTCTGACATGTGGTCTGTTGGAGTTATCTGCTATGTTCTGTGAGTATAAATGCATTACTATTTGTATTTTATGAAATTGAATAAATCTTTATTGTATTTTGCTATTTCCTCAGCAACATTTTGCTCCTTGAAATTAGTTTATTTTATATTAAAATGCCATGTAAAAATTCAAATAAAGATACTGAATAGTTCTGAAAATTTTAATTTTAGATTTTGTGTAACCATTATTTTCTGGTAAATAAAGGTCCTCCTGCTACAGTGAACTCTATAATTAGTTTATATATCGCTCATTTTATTTAGTTACATTTTGTATATTTAATTTGCTCTCCTGTAAATGCTAGAGTAAATTTCATTTTACAACAGAACTATTAGATAATATGTATTTAAAGGCCATTCAAAATGTTTATCGTGTATTTTTTTTTTTTTTTTTATTTTGGAAAATGTCAATTTCAAAAAATTCAGTGTTTACTTGCTACATATTGCACCTTTAAAATGCTTGTGAAATTATTGTAAATATTATTTGTAAGTATCTTCTTAGGTCCACTGATATTTTGAAGGTACGTTATTGCTTTAACAAAAAAAAAAATTTTTTTCTTTCTTTTCTCTTCACCGTATGCTTTTCACTTTCAGATTGTCTGGTCTGTCTCCATTCATGGGAGACAATGATGCAGAAACATTTGCAAATATCACAAGAGCAGATTATGATTTTGAAGATGAATCCTTTGATGCCATTTCTCAAGATGCCAAAGATTTTATAAGTAGTTTATTGCTGAAGAGAAAAGAGTAAGAATACTTGAAATTTAGATTTCACATTGCTTTGGTATTTACAAACACTTAAATCCATTTGAAAAGAATGTTATTTTAAAGTCTGTATTTCTAATTTGAAGGGATAGGCTGACAGCTCAACAGTGCTTAAAACATATCTGGCTGGCACAGAAAGATGATAGTATGAGTTGTGTTAAACTGAGCACAGATAAACTGAAAAAATTCATTATTCGCAGGAAGTGGCAGGTATGTGAAATTGAACTCCATTTTGCTTGAAATTATGATATGATATTATATTTAATATTTCAGTAATGTTTTCTTCTTAAATGTCTGTTTGTGCTAATGCTCTAGTTTTTGTAAGTTTTTTAAAACACTTTTTGACTTGTAGATAACTAGTGTGACTTTTTATGTTACATTTGTTGATTGTTAGATTGAGCATGTTATTTTCAATCTATTCATAATTTTTAACTTTTTCATTGAGTGTGTGTGTGTGTGTGTTTTTCTGTAAACTCTAACACAATGTGCAGAAAACTGGAAACGCCATACGTGCCCTGGGACGCATGGCAACTCTGTCTGCTGCCAGTCGGCGTAACTCCAATGCCAGTTCAACATCAGGAAGTCCCAGGCCCAGTTTATCTGGTGGTGGCATCTCGAGAATGTCCAGCCTGAATGAGGAAGACAGAGAGGCGCTGCTGCTTAGCGATCTCTCTAGCACGCCTCTTGTTAACACTACTGAAATTCTGGAGTGTCATTCTAAATATGCTAACCACATGAATGGCTTAAACAGTGTGGATACCAGCAACAAATCTGGTCGCATGCGTTTGTGTAGTGAACGTAGTGATAGTGGTATTGGGGATTGTTCGAGTATTGCTTCAAGCCCACAAGTACATCAGCCTTTCTGTCAATGTCACTCAAAACTACTTATGAGCAAGAAGTTTTCTATTACAGAAGAAGCCGAGTACACAATTGAAAATCAATGCATTGGTGACATTGATAGGAAAACTGAGGTACTATCTATTTCCCCATTGCCAAAGGACTGTGTTTTCATAGATTCTAAGTCTGAATCTGAAAATGAAAGCTCAAAGTCGAAAGATAGTAAATCAGAGCCAAGTGATTATAAAAGTACTGTAACACAAGCTGTTGGTAACATGAAAGCTAATTTGTCACATTCTTCTTCAGCTGAAAGTGTCAAAAAGACAACCTGCTTAAAACAGCAGGGATCTGTGGACTCGGGTGTTCATATGGATGTTGGAGCAGGCAGTGTAATGAACAAAGTCCAATCATATGTGAAGAGCTGTCAGCAACAACAAGAGCAACAGCAACAGCAACAGCAACAGCAACAGCAACAGCAACAGCAACAGCAACAGCAACAGCAACAGCAACATCAACATCAATATTTGGTGCCTCAAAGTCAGAAGCTATCAAGAATTGCAAGTCCCAAGAAGCTTACAGCAGAGGTAACCAGTAAAGTTGCATCTGGTTTCTCAAATTCTGCAAAGACCAAACAGTCTTCCACTAAGCCAGCTCTGTCCAATGAACATAGCACAAATTATCAGAAAGCAATGGCATTCTGGAAGCGATAGCTCGTTTTAAGATTTTATTTAATGATACAAATTATATATTCATTTAATCGTTATTTTAAGAAAAAATTAAGAAGAAAATGCTAACATTTTTAAACAGAGCTATATTAGAGCTTGACAGAGGTGGTAAAGAAATTTATGGATAGTAAGAGAATGTATTCACTGCTATAAAATATGAATTACTACTGAAAACAGCTTAACTGTTTATAAACTTGCAATCCATGGCATTCTAATGTTGCGTGGCAATTAAAGGCAACTTGGATGAGGCAAGAGAATGTTGGTATATTGAATATATTTAGCTTAGTAGACATTCCTTACCCCTCTGTGATTCAGATAACTGGTAAGATTTTATTGTTTGTAGACTTACTGTTATGTGGTACGTTAATATAATTTCAAATGTAGAAATATGCCAACATTTTCTGTACTAGATGAACATTAAGTCTGTGAAGAAAATGGTGTTGAAGCATCAAAGCTTTTCTGGGGCTGGGCCCTACTGCTCGTCTTCCCAGAATAAGAAGATCAACCCTTGATAAAGGGCAATGAATGTGGTTTTGTTTAAGACATTGTAAGACAGTTCTTCCTCAGGTTTTGAAATTAAATGTGGAGAAAGAAACAATAAGTTTCTCAGTAGAAAAGAACATGGATGCCGCTGAAATTTGAAGAATCTTATTAGAGAAGTGAGGCAGCTTATAGGAGCATAAATACAAATGGGAGCAGATTATAGCTCTGAATTATAAGGAGTATACTTAGAAGAATGAATGTTAATTTACTCTTTAGTTCTGTACAAAATGTTTTGTCAATAATGAAATACCTTATCTACTTTAGAACTGAACAATGTGCCTTAGCATGCAAATGCATCTGACGGAATGGATATCAGAGTAATAAACTTAAATATTTTAACTGTTATATTTTAATTGTAATTGGATTATATTACCCACTGATTTGTATCAAAGGAAATTTACTTTTTTGCTTAAGGAAAAGTTCTATTTTCTGGACTATAAATATAATGATAAAGTTTTATCATCAGAAACTTGCACTTACCTGTACTTCAAGAGAAAACAGAGACAGACCTTTCCTACTTTTCAGTTATTAATTAATAGAATAAGACTGGGATGAAATTTAAATTGAAGTGATAGCTAATTCACTCTTTTAGTATTTCCTGGTCTTTTCCAGTGTTACAAAGAATTAGAGATGCAATTCATTTGTAATTGATTGAATATTTTTCCATTACTTGGGATTGCCTTGTTTGAAGATTGCTCCTCAAGATAAACTTTAGTTGCTGCTTCTCAGTGACCACAAACCATACTATTGGCTATGTGTATGTTGTTGAAATATCAGTATTCAGTTCATCCTGATTGCGTATTAGAAATTCTTTCTAAATGAAATAACTGTAAGATTGTTTTTATGTAAGTTCCTTTAGTTTCCATGCTAAATATAGAGAGAAATGTTGTATTATAGTTTCGGCATCTCAATGAAAGCTCCAGTTACCCATTGTATGTGGTATATTTGTATTTCTATTACACAAATATGTATTAAAATTTACTTTCTGGTAACATATGGAATGAAATTATAATAAATGTGAATGTGGATTGTATAAGACCCATTTATTTATATCCTCCATTAAATTTGAACCAAAGCAAACAGAATTTATTTAAGAAAGGATTAAAACTTGGAATATTTTCCACAAAAAAAGTTGTTTTCTTTTTCTTTTTCGGGAGATTCAGTAGTTTTGAACCTAAATACTATTGGTGCCTTTGTCCCTCATGTTTGTGAACTGCAGTTCCTTTCCCAAGCTGTGATTTGTACTCTTACTTTAAAGTACACGACTTCAAAATTGAATATTAAGGGAGGGGGAGGGGGATGAAATCTAAAACTTTATATATATATATATATATATATTCAATTCAATTCATAGCTGGAATATTTTATTAGAAATAGTAGTTTGTTTGATCCTATGCAGTGTCATTGTACAGTACGACAGAGAGATTTTAGCAAAATTTGGAATACAGTATTTTATTCTGTTTTTGTTAAACAAATGAAATTATAAATATATTGTAAATATTATCAAAGTTGCAAAGTGGGTAAATATTAACAAAATTGAGTCTTGAAAAACATTCAAAATGTTAACAATGAATAGCTTCCTTAATATTGAAGTAAGAAATGTGACGTTTGGCTAATAATATAACATTGTTTCTGACTGCATAATTTCAGTTCTGAGCTCTTATCATTATTTTACAAAGTAGGTTTAAAATGATGATTTTGCCAAGAAGCCTGAAAAAAAAAAGTATTTTCAACCTTCTTTTGTAAAAAAAGGATGTTTCAGAAGTGCTTCTAAATTTATCTCATCAGAAAGAACATATTTTGAAGCTTTAAGAAAATGTGAATTTGAATATCCATCATGGACACATAATTCTTATAATGTGATGAAAAGTGCAGTGACCTTCTTGAAAAAATTTGTGTGCAATAAAAATTCCCCAGTTAAAGTTTACTCAATATTAAAGTAAGAAAATTGAAATTTAGCCCATAATATCACAACTTGCTTATGAAGCTATAACTATATATATGAATTTTGCATATGAAGCTATAACTTTGCAAAAGTTCTTTTAAGACATGTAGGACTCTGCATACAAAATTACATCAAAATTCGTTATGATTACAAGGAGCACTTCTCCATAAGTATAAAACTTGATCAGGAATGATCCTTGCATTAATTAATAGTCATGCTAAAAAAAGTGAATATAAGCCATTGCATCAATAAAAAATTTTATTCAGAATTAGAATCTCGAGAAAAGTATTATCTGTATGTGTACTTAAGTTACTTTTTTATGATAAAAAAAGTAGGTAATATTAAGTTCATAAGTCATTAAAACTTTTCTTTTGAATTGTTAATGAGATTTACCATATAAATTTAAAACTTTCCTACCATGTTTCCTAATTTCTTGTAGTCCTAAATTTCTTGTTTTATGTTGACTAAAGGACTTGGTGCAAAATTAGTATCAGGTACTGTCTACCACAATCTCATTGAATTGATGTGTTTCTGAGTGGCTGTGATTTTGCATGCTATAAGGGTCCTAGATCGTAGTAAGTAGGCAATTGCAACATAATGGTTCATTGGTGTATTTAAGTGAAAATGAATTGTGTATAATGAAGTGTAGCCATAAAGAACATTTATTTGTAGAGTGTAAATTAAGCAATACTTTTTTGAAGTTATAAATAGACAAATTATTCCAAGGCATATTGCATATAGTATTTGAATTGGTGTTTCCTCCTCCATTCATTGAATGTGCTCTTGAATACCTTTTCAATTGAATGCCTTCTAAATTTTAGTGTAGTATATAGCTTTGATTCTTTGAATTCTTCACAAACTTAATTCATTGTATCTGGTTTTCCTGATTCCTCTTTACTGGTATGTGATAATAATGAGAATAACCAATCGATTATAGAGTATAAGCAAACTTGCCTACCTGAATGTCCTCTGTTTTCCAAGATAGAGAATCACAGTACTAGTTTACCTCTGCCTTCCAGTGTATTGATAATGGTAAAATTATCATGAGGGTTAAAGAAAAAGACATTTCTCATCAACAAAATATTTCAAATTAACAATTTTTAATAACAAAATATTATTTCTAATACATTTGATTTAAAATATGTTCAAATGATGAATGTATAAAATGTTTAGCACTTTGGACTAAATAAGCCCCATGAACCAAAACACTATGGTAGGAGCCTTGAGCCTTTTTGTTTCTATCATTTTTTAACAAAAGAATTCATTTATTCATAAAAAAAAAAGAGATAGAAAAAAGAAAGAGAGAGAGAGACAGAGACGGAGAGAGACAAAGAGAGACGCAGAGAGAGAGAGAGAAACAGAGAGAGAACCAACAGTTTTATTCCCCAGAAAGAAGTGAGGTAGTGACTCTTCGATATCGGGAAATTCATTTTTTTTCGTGATATAATTCTGATTTTCTCAGACAAGGTCACTTTATCTCCCTGAACCTAGGATATCTTTAATTTATTAACAGTATAATCAGTTAAGAAATTATTGTCGATATACCACCCTCGATTGTGAGTATTATGGGTACCACTATGAATTCCTAATGCTACCAACTAATTTTGACTTTGATGGAGATACCAAATCACCAGTACAACACAGGTCTTGGTTATGTTTATCTGTTACATCTATTTTGCCCTGGTTGATTGGATATGGAATCTGATAAGATAGGAATTATTATTGGAGGATTTAATTTTGGGAGGCATTCAACCAAGGTTCCTCTATGTGCCCCAAGCAAGACGTGGCACACCAAAAATTTTCTGTCCTCGAACCCAGCTGTGTTGAGCCCTACAAACCCAGGTTTTGGAAGTCATTTTACCAATACCCATAAGGCTGGTAGATTTTCAAAGTTCCAGAGTCAATCAAGGTTTTGATTCAATGAAATTCTTTGTGGTGACTTCAATATAAATTGCCTCACACAATCCAGTAATGAAAATCTATTTAAAGACCTACTAAAATCATACAATTTACAAACGACTATAAAAAACACCAACACGAATATCCAAAAATAGTAACACTGCTATAGATCAAATAATAATATGTGCAAATAACCATTGTTTTTCTGTTGCTACATTTAATACAGGTTTCAGTGACCACAATGCCCAGATTCTAACACTTCAAATAGAAACAAAATCCACGGAACAAACAACTTACAAAGAAATACGTAACTATTGCCAAGGAAACAATAAAATTTCAAAACTTACTCAGATTTGAAAACTGGAATGAAGTATATAAGGCAACCAATACAAATGAGAAGTTTAACTCATTCATAAATATATACTTAAGACACTTCAATGCCATTTTCCCTCAAAAACTCAAAATAAGAAAACTAAATCATGGATTACCACAGGCATCAAAATGTCACGTGAAAGAAAATGCAACATGTATAAAATACTAACAAATAACGAATGTAACTCAAACTTCATTTCATATTACAAAACATATAATTTGGTCCTAAAAAAAGTAATCAAACAAACAAAAATAATAACAAATGATAAGTACATTGCAAATGCACGTAATAAAACAAAAGCTATGTGGGGCATTATTAAAGAGACTACTGCACCAACTAATAATAACAGAAAAAAATATAGAGCTCGACTACAAAAACCAAACTGTAAAAGACCCACAAGAAATAGCTGATATATTCAATGAACACTTTTCTCAAATTAGTAATAAGTTAATCTCTCAACACTCTCTAAACAATAAAACACACCAAACAAACACTAATATTACACAAATTGTAAATTCCATATTCTTATATGAAACCACCCCCTCTGAAATTTTTAAAATTATTGGACAAATGGAGAATAAATTATCAGCAGGCATGGACAACATTCCAGATTTTCTTATTAAACACAGTGCTCCATGTATAGTGCAACCACTCTCTCACATCTGCAATTAGTCTCTAAAATCAGGCATATTCCCAGATATATTCAAAACAGCAAAAATTAATCCATTGTTTAAAAAGGGCAATAGTTATGACCCAATGAACTACAGACCTACCTCCCTGTTATCAGGATTTTCAAAAATTCTGGAAAGACTTTTCAATGATAGACTCAAACAATTTCTCAATACAAATAATGTCCTTTCAAATGCACAACATGGCTTCAGAAGTAATAGATCCACAGACACAGCCATCATCTCCTTTTTAAATGACATACTGGTTGCACTAAATCAGAAGGAAATTCCCATTGGCCTTTTCTTAGATTTGTCAAAAGCCTTTGACAATCATTGACCATCCTTATACTTTAAAAACTAGAAATGCCGCTAGGCGATTCGAGCATTGCAAAGGCCATGGATCAAATCATATTTTATCAAACCGTAGCAAATAGGTTGCCCTCCAACAACAACTAAAGAAAACAAAATCTCCTGAATACTACTTCTGTCCTCAATAGATAAATTGTGAGTCCTGCAAGGATGCAATCCTTGGGCCAATCTATTGCCTTTATATATGGACATGCCTTTACTTTAAGGAACAACAAAATAATTTTGTTTGCAGATGACACTAAAGATATCATCGAAGCAAAACACAACAATGCATTAGAAAAAAGAACCCACAAAGACTTTGCAAGCACTAGTAAAAATGGTTTCAAGACAAACAAAACTCCATCATAAACACCGGCAGCAAGACAGTCCTGCTTCTAATTTCAATGAACTCGGATTAATAAGAAGAAACTCATCAAACAGCATTTTGCTCATAAACAATAACCCTGTATACGATATCTATGAAACTACTTCCTCGGACTAACAATTCAAGAAACCTAAAATGGAACCACCATCTCCAATCTTAACAAGAATCTCAGCAAATCTTGCTGTGGCCCAATACACCTCAGTCAAGCTCCAACATCGAGATGTCACTGCTCGAACAATGTATTATTGCGAAAATTGTGCACTCACACCTAAAATATGGAATCAATATTCTGGGGAAATGCCCCTGAAAAGCACTCGCACATTTATTATCGCAAAAAAGAATATTGCGAACAATGACCAGACACTCATAAGCTGGAGACTTGGCACACCTTGTTTAATAAACTAAGGATTCTATCCTCTAAACATGCATGTACATATTTGACATAGTGGTCTTCAACAAAGAAAATTTCTCATGGGAAAACAAAGAACACTTTTTACTT